GTAAAAATCGACACGTTTCAGAAAGGCGGGGCATAGATGGGAAACAATATACAGTATGTGGAAAATAATGTGTTTTTTTAACCTTAAACCGCATAAACACATTTCATTACACCAAATACACCAAATAATGTTCTTTTTAGCAACATCATATGACCCCTTTAAGACTCATAAGCAAAGATTGGGCAATGCTAATATGATTTCTTTAGACTGAAAGAACAGAGTGTAAGATTAAAGCAAAAGCTGAATAAAAAGCTTAAGAATTAAATTAGCTTCAGATGAATAGAGGAGGGCGAGAGAGGAGATACAGATAAGAAGTCTAAGGAGAAATGGGAAATAAATGGGAAGTAGCAGAATAGCGTATAACATGGTGACGTATGTGTTTTTTTTTTTTAGAGGATAAAAATGTTCCCCTTTCTTCCACATAAATAGGATATTTTTATGTTTATAGGGGGCATACGTGCGTATTTTGCTGCCAATGTGGTTGGAAGTTCCCATTTTTATAAATCATGTGAATATGTGAGTGTGTGTGTATAATGCTGCTGTACAGCATGCCTGCACACTCCTCACGCTCTCAGGTTGCTGAGCAGAAGCCTTGTTGCCATGGAGACAGTCTGGGTCGGGCGCATGCAGCAGGGTATCAGACGTGCTCACCGCGGTCACAAGTTCAAAGGTCAAATACCAGATAGACAGCGAATTGTGAAGACAAACAATTTGAAAAATTATAAATAGCAGTTATTTTATGGAGCACATTATTTATACACCATTATTCACCGCTTGTAAACTGGCAAGTTTTATTTTTCATCATGCTTAAATGTCTGTATTTACGTATTTGCTCGGCACAGCAGGATGGGAGTTTTATATTTCTTCGCTAGACGAAATCCATGCACATGAACAAACATGTTTCCGATGCTTTTATATTGTTTTAATTAGAATTGTCTGCCTGTTTTGTGCTTCAAAGGCTTGTGGAAATGACTCACTGTCTATTTATTTGTACTTTGGAAAGCAGTTTCAATGCACCTCCAGTTCCGCAGTTGTTTCAGGCTGGTTTTGTTCAAAGTGAGTTTATTCGTAACTGGTTTGAAACTGCGTGGACGCTCTGAATGCACATTGTCCAGATGACAGATGAGCGTGTTTCGAGCATCAACACGAGTGGAGGCAGGGGACGACCCGTGTGAGGATGCGCTCCGTTGCAGTCGGATGTTTTGTCTCTGGAGATTTTCTCGAGAACAGCTCTGTCAGCAACAGCTGGACTGGCGAAAGACTGATGCAGTGGCTAGGCCAAGTAATTGTGCAATATTTGGCCAATTTGAGATTATCGATATCAGCCAGGAGCACGCCAGGTTGCCAGTTGCTCCTATTATTACATAAATATTAAATATATTTCTTGTACAATATATATTTAAAATCACTCAGGCAGTGCTGACATTCATTTGGCACATTTTTTTAATATCATTTGAATATCACCTCTGTTTCTCTGCTGTATTTCAGGTGTTTCTTATATTGTATCAAAAGAGTCACCTTGCTCACCATGCCACCGATGCAGAACACGCAAACACACACACACACACACATATGTGTTACATGTCTCCACTTCTCACAGTCCCTCCCACCCTCCTACACACACACACTCACACCCACACAGAGCTCGCGCCAAGCCTGCTGTCTCATCTGTTATTTCAAGCCGGAGAGGCAATGTGACATTAAACAGTTGGTCTATGGAGAGAGAGAGAAAGGGGGAAAAAGTGTGAGGGAAAGGAAGAAAAGGAGGGAGAGAGCGGGCTGCTGAAGGGGAACAAGGGAGTATTATTATTAAAAGCATGCAGTTATCAAAGGAATAATTTGTGCAAAAATGAAAATTACTCATCCCCATGGTGTTTAAAACCAAGGCTGAACCCTGTATTCAGGGTTGGGGATACAAAGTGTATGAATCAACCATTTTAAAAAGGCATATCGATGTGAATATTTTGGTGGGATGGGGTGTGGAGGGGTGGTGTGTCCTAGGGGGAATATTTGGGTGTTTATGGCTCTGTTTCAAACCGTATGGCTGTTTTACATGCTCATTTCCATGCACTTACAATTAGCAGGCACTGAATCTTTTTGAAGCTTCCAAAAGGATGCAGAAACGCTGTAGAAATATCTTGTGGTTCATATGACTTATGCACTTATATATGAGAGTTTACGTGAGGAACAGACACAAATTTAAAATGTAATTAACTGAAAATCTGTCCTATTTGGTGCGTTCGTAAGAGGACATGAGAAAAGTACTAATAGTCTAATTTATTTCACAAATATTTCTTGTAAATGATTGGGTTAAAGCTAGAATGATTTGTTCACAAATCTAACTCATGAGTCAATCACATCTTAGATTATCAGTGAATAATGGCTTACATTTCATGCAAAGATATTATGTCTGGACTTATATGTAACTTGTATATCTTGCTATTAAAACATTTGTTAACTGAAATAAAGCTGAAACTAAATATTAAATGAAAAGTTTGAATGAAAAAACAAATGAAAGAAGTTCAGGGTTAAGGACTAAAATTAATAATTGGAAATAAAAATAAAAAAATAAAACTCAAACAAAACAAATAAAAATATCAACAGCATGTAAAAAAAATTGAAGCTAAAATGAAAATAACTGAAAAATATAAGCTAATTCAAAATATTGATAAACCTATTTTAGTATATAAATAATTCTAAAATAACACTGCTTCAGATGAATTTGATTATAATTATGATAATTTATTATATGTTTGAATGGAGAATGGCTTCTGAAAATTCAGCTTTGCCAACACAGGAATAAATTGCATTAAAAAAAATATTAAGATATAAAGTTATTTTTTTAAATTGTAATATTTCAATACTATATTTTTAATTATATGCAGCCTTGGTATTTTAATGGCCCTAAACTTATATGCGGTTTATATTTCCTGCCTTAATTTTAAACAGTGTTTTCTGTTGTCTTTATAGTTTCATATTTTTTATTTTATTAGTATTTTTATTTTATTTGATTAATTTTTATTCTTTTTTGGGGTGTATTTGTGCTGTCTTGAAAATAAATGGTACTTTCCGATATTTTCTTGTCTAGTTTTTCATAAGAATTAGATGATAAACGCATGAGTCTGAACTACTTTTATGATACATTTGCAGCTGCTTTAAAAAGCTGAAAGCGAGTCACTATATACTGCCTTTGTATGGAAACAGCAATGAGATTGGAACAACACGACGATAAGTAAATGCAAACATTTGAATTCTGTCTGAACTATTCCTATAAGGAAAATGAGTGTGGAGTTTGAGGAGAAGTGGAGATGAGAACTAGGATGGAGAATCCAGAATTCCTCCTCCCATTAAACACACACACTAATCCCCATGGAATACTCCACTCCATTACCTGTTGTCTTGGCAACGGCAGTGAGTGTGATAACCAGTGTGTTGTTAAGGAAGAATCCAGACCGGCTTGTTAGGAGGAAAATCTCTGGTTCAGGGAGCACAACTTCACCCATCAGTGCCCACATTGTGTTCAAGTTGCTCCTGAACGTGTCATGTGATGTCACTTACACTGCAGCTGTCATTGAGAATCAAACACTGTCGTTTGAAATGGCTGTTGTTAATTAGCTAACATAACTGTGTGTGTGTGTGTGTGTGTGACAGAGATACGGTCTCAGTTAGTGGAGCAGCAGAAATGTCTGGAGCAGCAGACGGACATGCGGGTTCAGCTCCTCCAGGACCTGCAGGATTTCTTCAGGAAGAAAGCCGAGATCGAGAGCGAATATTCACGCAACTTGGAGAAGCTCGCCGAACGATTCATGGCCAAAACCCGCAGCACCAAGGACCACCAACAATACAAGTGAGTGAAGTTATAAGTGTGTGTGACAGAGAGAGAGAGAGCCAGAATGTGAATGCACATGAATGATTCAAGAGTCATTTTCTAGAAACGAATCAGTGGCGAATCGTTTGGTTCAGGTGCTTATTTCCATTCCTTTTGTTCACCGCCAATTCATTTCTCCCTCCCTGTTGTGTTCGACTGTGGTTTGCGGTGGATTAGGGCGACGTCTGGAATACTTTACCCATGATGCTCTGCAGCTTCATGCTTGAAAAATCAGAGATGGCAGAGTAGAGGCGATTGCTGTAGTTATTGTTCTTGTGTGTGTGTGTGTATGTGTGTGTGTATATATATATGGGCATCTGTGTATTTGCTGTCTCATTAATGCAGATAGAATTCTGCTGGGAAAATAGAGAAATGAGCGAGAGAGAGAGGGAGTTTCACAGTTTCTCTTCTGTTGCAGTTTTTTTCTTCGTGCTGGGCACTTGATGGTGTGCTGGTCCTCATGGGGCTGTCCCATCGGATGCCTGCTGAGCTTTGTGATTAGTCACTGGCTGCTGAAGACATTCGCCTCTTTGGTCCAAAATGGCTTCACATTGTCTTTTCGCAACAGCCATTACTAATATAGAAGATCAAGTGTGTGAAACAAAATGGCGTCTTTTACCTTCACGTTGACAGGTGGTTAAACCACCTTCACTCTCAGAACAAATGAGCAATTTGCACAGACAGCAGTGCAATGCAGTTTTTGGCAGTAATCAGTTTAAAACATTTAGTTATCCAAAAGTCTGGGGTCAGTTTTTAAATACTTTTATTCAGCAAGGATGCATAAAATTGGTCAAAAGTGATAGTGGACATTTATAACGTTATAGATGTTTTTGTAATGTTACAGATTTTAGTTTCAAAGAAATGCCGTTCTTTCAAATTTTTGATCAATCAACGAATCCTGAAAAAATGATCACTTCGTTTCACAAAAATATTAAGCAGTACAATTGTTTGTAACATTGCTAATAATCATGTTTCTTGAGCAGTAAATCAGCATATTAGAAAGATTTCTGAAGGATCATGTGAATTTTCATAGAAACGAATCCGTGGCAAATCGTTTAGGTTCAGGTGCTTTTTTTCTTTCCTTTCATTCACCTCCAAATAATTTCTCCCTCCCTGTTTTGTTCGACTGTGGTTTGCGGTGGATTAGGGCGACGTCTGGAATATTTTACCCATGATGCTCTGCAGCTTCATGCTTGAAAAATCAGAGAGGAGAAGCGATTGCTGTGTCTGCTGTAGTTATTGTTCTTGTGTGTGTGTGTGTGTGTATATATATGGGCATCTGTGTATTTGCTGTCTCATTAATGCAGATAGAATTCTGCTGGGAAAATAGAGAAATGAGCGAGAGAGAGAGGGAGTTTCACAGTTTCTCTTCTGTTGCAGTTTTTTTCTTCGTGCTGGGCACTTGATGGTGTGCTGGTCCTCATGGGGCTGTCCCATCGGATGCCTGCTGAGCTTTGTGATTAGTCACTGGCTGCTGAAGACATTCGCCTCTTTGGTCCAAAATGGCTTCACATTGTCTTTTTGCAACAGCCATTACTAATATAGAAGATCAAGTGTGTGAAACAAAATGGCGTCTTTTACCTTCACGTTGACAGGTGGTTAAACCACCTTCACTCTCAGAACAAATGAGCAATTTGCACAGACAGCAGTGCAATGCAGTTTTTGGCAGTAATCAGTTTAAAACATTTAGTTATCCAAAAGTCTGGGGTCAGTTTTTAAATACTTTTATTCAGCAAGGATGCATAAAATTGGTCAAAAGTGATAGTGGACATTTATAACGTTATAGATGTTTTTGTAATGTTACAGATTTTAGTTTCAAAGAAATGCCGTTCTTTCAAATTTTTGATCAATCAACGAATCCTGAAAAAATGATCACTTCGTTTCACAAAAATATTAAGCAGTACAATTGTTTGTAACATTGCTAATAATCATGTTTCTTGAGCAGTAAATCAGCATATTAGAAAGATTTCTGAAGGATCATGTGACACTGAAGACTCAAGTAATTATGCTGAAAATTCAGCTTTACCATCACAGGAATAAATTACTTTAAAATATTAAAATAGAAAATGGTTATTTTGAATTGTAAAAATATTTAGCAATATTACTGTTTTTACTGTATCTTTAATGAAATGTGAGCATTAGTTTTTTAAAAACTCTTTATTATTTATTAACAATATTTTAATAACTTATTTTTAAAAGGATGAAATCACTGCACTTTACCAACTCAGGGTGCATTTTCCCAAGAAAAAACTAAGATCTGCACTCCTTTTTTTTCTGCTTAATTTTTGCAAAGCAGATGCTTTTTAATGTTTTTTTTTTTTATGCTGTCTTGAAAATGCCCCTTGGTCAGATATTTTCTTGTTTAATACACATATATTCAGACATTTTAGTGTGCATTATGAGTTGAAATACTTTTAGAAGCTGTTGTATGTAATACTATTGTTCAGTTTGTGAATTCATGCATCAAATATATTATGGAAAAGTGAAGTGAGGAATATAATTTTTACATGAGAGCATTACCTTGTCGTCAGTGGCTTGTATGTTGATATATTCACTAATGAGTCATTTATTATGAAGATTTTATGAGTGCGTTCAGCTGGGAGTCATCTATAGAGATTTTATGGGTTGTAGGACATTTCCTTAACATCCTCATCCAGGCAATTCAGTGAACTGCAGTTGAAATCTTCACCAAAGCCTCAGCATTTCTTGAGGGTAAATACAAAATGGTTCATTAGTGGATTTGGATGACTACTTGATAAAAGCCACAGAGCGGCACTCACAAAAACAGCATGTACAGCAAATCCAGGGCCACCCAGAGAGTCCTACAGCAGAGATGAAGATATTCACTTTGAGAGATTGTGATTTGTGATTTTAAGCTTGACATTATATATACAATGACTGCAAAATGTTTTACATTTAGATCACTTAATGTATGAATGTTGTCTTATATCTCAAGTTGTCAAATCAGTAGCATGTATTGTTTTGAGAAATGAGCACATTTTAAGCAAATATTTCAGAAAACCTTTATATATTGCATGAACAAAAAAAAAATATATAATTAGAGGTTCTATATTTTGATTTAAACCTTAAATGAATAAAATAAATCAAATGCAACTGGCAAACTGTTAGTAAGAGCTTTCTTTTCTTGTATATGTATTGTGTAGTACTTTTTCCATCTACATATTTAAAGCCCACTTTTCCGTGGCTTTCAGGAAGGACCAGAACCTGCTTTCTCCCGTCAACTGCTGGTATCTGCTGCTGAACCAAGTGAGGAGGGAGAGTAAGGACCACGCCACACTCAGCGACCTTTACCTCAACAACGTCATCACACGCTTCACTCATGTCAGCGAGGACAACATGCGTCTGCTCAAGAAGGTGAGGTCAAACACAGGTCAGCTGGGAAGGTCGTTCCTGTCACTACTATAATGTGATGGGATGCACGTATAATTACATCAAAATGAAAGCTGGAAAAAATATGCATGCGTTAAAAATCGTGTCGCTTTAAGTCAGCTGGTGGGAGACAAAACCTCTTGATATTTGAAGCACATTTCTCCTTTGGATAATTAAAATGTGAACAACGTTTTACTCTCTAGTAACAGTGGTGTTAGAATTTTTTTTCGAGCGGTTTGTTTTCATTTCTTCAGTATAATTAATCAGACTCTTAAACTCAGCTTTCTCAGATTGTGTGCATGGCTGTGGTTTTATTTTATGAGAATTCAGCATTCATTGTCTCTGTAGAATCCAATGCAGTGGTGGTTTATTTATAGGAAGCTAATTTATTTTTCTGCACAACACTTTAGTAGATCAGCACTAATGTAATAACAATAGTAGAAGAGTCAATGACAAATAAGAGTGTAAGATACAGAATACAGGAGATACAGATACTAAGATACAGAAAAAAAACTGGTTTCAAATGTGCAAGTTCGTGTAAATGCAATCTTTGTATTCATGTTGGTTTCCTGTGGTTTTAAACTGTTACACCATTTTGGGACTTATTGAACTGTCTCTTACTTCCTAAAACTATTGTATTGCTATATATATGTGTGTGTGTGTGTTAAATTAAATAAAACAATTAAAATAAAATAATTAAAAATAAAACAATTAAAATAATCAAAGAATGGAATGCAAATACCTATGCCTATACAGTATATATTTTCTTTAAAATAAATAGTATTTTTTTAAATGCATTTTTAATAAATTATTAAATCTAGTCAAAAAAGCTCTTCTAAAATTCACTTGTGACACTCTAAAGAAAAATTGTGACTTGGTCAGTGTATCTGAAGGACCCAAAAGGTCAGGTCAAGAAGGTACTGCCTAACACGACTGGTCAAAGAAGTAAAGCAACTTAAGTGGATATTTGAGTTGTTTTGATCTATCGTGTTAGTTCAGAATTGACAAAGCGAGGACAGCAAGTCTTGGCTGTATATTTGAGTTTGACCCAGCTCAGCCCTTACTCTCTGTCCATTTTTTTTTGGCCCACAGAGCAAAGAGATCATTTTCCAGCTGCAAGAAGACCTGATGAAGATTCTTAACGAACTCTACACGGTGAGCTTGTCTCATTCTCTCTCATCATCTGTTCAATCTCTTTTTGGATTACTTCTTCATACCCTCACTTTGCTGGTGCTTTTCTCTCTCTCATTTTATCATTCCATCAATATGTAATTCGCTCCTCCATCACCGACACTCTCAGTCTCTCACTTCTCTTCTTCCAGAACTCAACTGTATAGCTTTCATCTGTCTTTCATTTACTAGTTCCAACATTTCTGCATTGCTTTTTGCTTCGTGATAACAGTTTTCCTTTTGTCTGCAACATCTGCAGCTGTTTATTTTACACAATTCTGTAGTTGCTGAAAAGACCAGCATGAATTTTCAGCATGAAATGGACTTAGAAATTTTGATGTGATGGTACCACAGGAACGCATACAGTCCCAAACCATTCGTCAATAACTATCTTCTCATGCAGCCTTAGAAAAACCAGTCACATGACGTTTACCTGTACAGCTCAGTTGATTGGCCCAAAAAGTATGCAAAAAAGGAAAGGTGGCAGATTTGAAATGACAAAAAAATACATGAAAAAAAGAGACGCATGCATGGATGAGTCTTTTCCATTTTAATGCTGACTTTAAGCTGGGTGGGAACTTTTCCTGTTGACAGACATTTGATTCGCCTGTAATTGTTGTTATGTGCAGTTGTGAATATTTGACCTGAATGTGAGCTTGTCTGACAGGACTGAAGTCTTAAAAGCCAGCAGCTCTTGCATAAATAACCTTGATAAAACAAAAACACGGAGCGCACATTAAGTCTGTCAGCTGAGCTTACCTCTAACATGAGGAATGCACACAAAAAATGAGATGAATTCTCTGAACCAAAGTACTCAAAGTTCAGGAAGTTTCCACCTCACTGCAGCCCTCATGTAAGCAGTTTTGTGTCCCTGTTGAGAAGGATTTACATCAGAGTTTGGAAGCAGAGCAGGACGCATGATTTAGCTTGTAGCGAGGGGTGTTTTTTGCCAGTCGGGTGTCTCCAAAAATCACTTGCTCCCCAATGGCTCCTGTGCAGTGAATGGGTGCCGTCAGAATGAGTCCAAACAGCTGATAAAAACATCACAATAATCTGCAAGTAATCCACACAACTACAGTCCATCAAGTAATATCTTGTGATGCAAAAAGCTAATGTTTGTACGAAAAAAAAAAATCTAGCATTAAATTGTTTAAACCTTTGCTTCTGGCCAAAATATGCACCATAATCCATAATAACACTTCCTCCAGTGGAAAAGTCCATCCTCTGTTGTCCTCTCACATCAAAATCCAACAGCATATTTGTTTAAGAACTGTTTTGGACTTTTTTTGCTTTTTAACAGTGCTTGATTTGTGCATATTTCTCTCCTGATTCAGACGAGACAACTTTTTCATTGTACAGAAAGCAATATTATGGACACATAATGAATGAAAAGAATGAAAGCAACGGTTTGAACTTAAAAACATTTTTATGGAATTGTTTATCACAAACACGTAGCTTTTTGGATTATTCGGATGTTTTTATCAGCTGTTTGGACTCTCATTCTGACGGCACCCATTCACTGCAGAGGATCCATTGGTGAGCAAGTGATGTAATGCTAAATTTATCATTTTTTATATGGGAACCATTACACACGCATCCATGTGGACACAGATGCACAACAGACATTTATGAATCAGATTAGCTCAGTAGGACGGGTTGCATTCTGCTGAAAGTTTTTGGATTGGATATGTGGGATTGTGGGTAATGTAGTTTTCCATCTGCTCTGCCCCCTGTAGGTGATGAAGACATATCACATGTATCACTCCGAGACTCTAAGTGCAGAGAATAAGCTAAAGGAGGCAGAGAGGCAGGGTGAACGACAGGGCCGGGGCGGAGAGGCCGTCTTCAGTCTGCGCACCGAAGATCGCCACCAACGGCGCAACGCTGCCCGCAAAATCCAGAAGATGAAAGAGAAGGTGAGTTCCACATCTTTTGCTGTGTGTTTTTCTGTTGTATTGTTGTCTCTTTTACTGTATGTGTTATACCTAAAATGTGTTTAGTTGTTTGCAGTCTTAAGAGTGTATTACCCATTATGCAAATTAGATTCCTTGAATTTTAATGTGCCAGATGTGTTTCCAGAAATAGTGCAAAGTTCATTTGTCTTGATGAAATACTGTGAACTGGAGTTATGGAGTAATTCGGTGGACATTATGAGGGAATAATTTCTGATTTATGCATAACCAACCTGAAAATGAGCCTATTTTGTTGCTCTTGTTGGCTTAGATGATTTGATGCTTCATTATAATGTTGGTTCTGAAGATTTACTGAGAATTGTTTGGATGCCTGGTTGATTTAACGCTATATTAATGTATTTTTTTAATGTGATTGAGCGGAAATACATTATAACGTCAATGCTTTCCAAATGTACATCTGCAGTTTAGTACTCCATTCATTTCTTTCTTTCATAAGGGGGAGGAGAGGTTAGAATGAGCAGTTGTTACAGCATTGGACAGAATAGGCAGACAGGATATCCCGATGGACAGAGTCAACAGTGGAACAATTTTTCCGTTTAAGGCATTGTATGAGCATAAAACAGTTTGGTTCACATATAAATGTAATGTGTATGCACTACCGTTCAAAGGGTTTTTTAATTCAGCAAGGATGCATTAAATTGCTCAAAAGTGACAGTCGAAATATTGATAAAGTAAAACTAAAATTTTTTTATTTGAAAACAAATGCTGTTCTTTTGAACTTTCTATTCATCTGACTGAAGTAATTCAGCTTTGCACCCCAGGAATACATTACATTTTAAAATATATTAAAATAGGAAAGTTACTTTAAATTTTTATATTATTTCACAATATTTTTTGTTTCACAATATTTATGTTTACTGTATTTTTGATCAAATGCAGCCTTGATTTTAATTTCTTTCATAACCTTTTTACTGCCCCCAAACTTTTGAATGGTAGTGTACATCTTTACACAAATATCAGTTAGACTGTGATGAATCCAAATGTAAAAATGTATAAACTGTGACTCTATTGACACTATATGTTCAGGATGCCTGATTGATTTAATGATAATGTTGCTGTAATTAAAAAGAGCAATTACAATCACGGAGAAGTGGACATAAGCCAAACCTCACTGTGCTAACACACTTCCATTAGAAACAAGTTAGTCGATAGGTTATCAATAAAAACATTTTATCTTCTTGCCATGATGGAGATATAGCACTTGCTCAACACTTTGTCCTTCTTTCTCTCCTTCAACCTCTCTTTCTCTTTCCCCCCCCCCAGCGCCAAGCCAAGTATTCGGAGAACAAACTGAAGGTTATGAAAGCTCGGAATGAGTATCTGTTGACTGTGGAGGCCACGAATGCTTCTCTGTTTAAATATTACATCCAAGACCTGTCGCATTTGATTGATGTGAGTATCTGATTAGGGCTGTGTACTGTAATGCACAGATTGTGAGTCGACGGCAGGAAATTGCCACTGCATGAAGGGCATGGTGTTATGGTTGCATTTATTTGCTTTTTCACCAAGCACAGTAATGAATTATAGTCCTGATTAATAATCACTAATTAAGGCAGCCTCCACTGCCTTTAATTAGAGACAAACGCACCCTGTAACAGGCAGGACGGGATGGAGATTAAGCCTTTAATTACAAGCACACATTAGCACATTCTGAAACAGGCCATGTTTAGAATGGAATACTAGCACGCTTGTTCCTGCCTACTGCACAGTATATACTGTCCTAAAACTCTATCTATCCATCTATCTATCCATCTATCCATCTATCCATCTATCTATCTATCATTTTATCGTTGTATTGTTTGTTCTATCATTTGTTCTATCATTGTATTGTTTGTTCTCATTTATTCATTCTATCTATATACCAGTTTCTTTATCTGTCTATCATTCTATATATTGTTCTGTATTTCTATTTGTCTATCGTCTATCTATCTGTCATTCTATATATTGTTCTTTCATTCTTCCTGTCATTCTTTTCTATCTATCATTTTATCTATTGTTCTAATTCTGTCTGTCTGTCTGTCTGTCTGTCTGTCTATCTATCTATCTATCTATCTATCTGTCTGTCTGTCTGTCTGTCTGTTGTTCTATCGTTCTATTTATCGTTCTATCTATTGTTCGTTCCTTTAATTCTATCATTCCATCGTTTGTTCGGTCTATCATTGTATTGTTTGTTCTGTTGTTTGTTCTATCATTGTATCGTTCATTCTTTCTGTATATCGGTCTGTCTGTCTGTCTATATATCTATCATTCTATCTATCTATCTATCTATCTATCTATAATTTTATCTATTGTTCTATTTCTGTCTATCATTCTATTGCTCTTCTGTCTGTCTATCATTCTATCTATCATTCTGCCTGTCGTTCTTTCTTTCTATCATCTATCTGTTATTCTGTCTATCGTTCTGTCTATCATCAGTTTGTCTGTCTGTCTGCCATCACATTGAAGATGGAAGGTGAAGTTGTGTGCATTGCATTGTGCATCGAGTGTCCTATGAAGTGTACTATGGTTGCATACTGATCATTTTCACAGCTGTAGTAATTCATCATTAAAAGTGCATACTGTGCACAGAACACATACTGTATACTACCTACTTTCCACACACAAAGTCCTATAAGATCCTATTAAATATTGTGCACACTTAATCTAGTTTCCAGTGAGGCCAGGAGTTTCCTCAATGGTAAAGAGAGGAGCCATTTCTCACACTGGGTTTGCTGTGTCTGTTGTTTTGCTCATTAGAGTTTGCAGCAGGCTGGTGGTGGTCAACAGTATCTGGCCGATCGGAGCGCTGTGTCTCTTTGACCTTCACAGAGGTCAAACCTGCTCACACTGAGATAAAGACAGCAGGAGAATTTGTGTACGTGGGTGGGTAAAAGAGGGAGAGAGAGATTGTGTGGGGGTGAGAAGTGAGATACAGTAAAAGCCTGGATGAAAAACCCTTCAAATTAACCCTGAGAACACAAGCCCTGGAGGATCATTTTTAGATGCTTTAAAGCAATGGTTCATCCGTCGTAATCGGGTTTGACTGACAGCTCCACACAAATCCACACTATTCATGTTCTCTTCTCCATTAAAATCGAGTGTGTGTGTTTGTGTTTTAACAGTGTTGTGACCTTGGCTACCATGCAGGCCTGAGCCGGGCATTGCGCACCTACTTGTCAGCAGAATACAGCCTGGAAACCTCTCGGCACGAGGGCCTGGATATTTTGGAGGGGGCTGTGGAGGGGCTGGACCCCAGTAATGACCGGCAGCGCTTTATGGAGACTCACCCTACAGCGTTCACCCCTCCTGCACGCTTCTCCTTTCAGCCACACATGGGAGACCAGGTCACATGCCACCTAGTGTCCAAACTGCATATATACATGTCATTTACAGTACATTGACTTCTGTGTAGGAAAGGAATGAATTTGTGCTATTGCAGTGAGTTTTACTATCATATCTTCATAATTTGGCTGGACAGCAAAAAAGAAAATTATTTTATCTAAAAACATAAAATTGTTTATTTAAATGATTTTTTTTAAATTAAAGTTTGTAGTAAAGTTTGAAATTGTCCTGTGCTTGACTAGATTGTGAACTGTGGGATTATATAAATGGGGTCAACAATGAAGAAAAAGAAAATCCTAATACTTTATAAACATTGTCATATTTTGTAATCAAAAACTAAACTCAATTTCTTAACTAAAACATCCAGTTCTAATTGGCAATCATTACCTCCGAAGAAGTAATTACAATGCTTTTAATTTAGGAATATGGAGAATTTAGCCTCAGACTATTAATTTAACTTACAATGTTTATGTGGAACTACTTCCATTTTTATTCCTGCGTGATGTGCCTTCACATAATAGAGAGATTTTCAGCATTAATAAGCATAAATAAGCTAACACTTTGCTTATTTGTGTAAATGAAGCATATGGGAGTCTAACTGTCTTCCTAAAACTGTTTTAAAACGCATTTTCCAGTTGTATTATAATTATTGCACATGCAGTTTAATGACCTCATAATAATTGCGGCCAAATGGATTATTCATAATTTTTTTTAAAAACTCATTTGTCACACCACAGGACCATTTAAAATTAATTCATGAAGCCAAAAAGGCGATTTAAAAGTGGTGACCACTTACAGCATCTAAAAACCTACACAAATTTTTATACAAATATATTAATTTTAACCTCGTGTTGAGAACAAAACATACCTATATCGATATATATGGTTGAGCTTGTTAACTGACACATTATCCAATTTCACACAGAATTTTTATGTCAAATTTAGTCAAAACTGTGACCTTTTAGTTATCATGCATGCTCTGATATGCAGAGCCTGGGTGGTCACATGGGCAATGCAAATTCAAGTCTGGCTCACAACATATTTTATCCAACACCACGCTATCATTTCCTGTCCTTTTTTACTATCCATGTCCTTGATAATGGCAAAAAAGGCCACTATAATAATAAATACGATCAAATGATTTGTTTGTTCTGCTGAGCGGATTCTGTAATATGTGTATTTATGCATGTTGATATTTCAGGTGAGTCAAATCACAGCACTGCCGCAGGTGCAAGCCGAGCTCCTCCTCCGATTCCAGCAGCTGCAGTCGCGCCTCTCCACACTGAAGATCGAAAATGAAGAGGTGAGACACACACACGCACACACACACACACACACACACACACACATAATCCCTTCCCCTTGAATGAGCACCTCGGCAGCTGCAGTTCCCCCACTGAGGATAACGAATGAGATGACAGGCGTACACACCTTCTCCATTTCTCCTTTCCCCTTCTCTCGTTCCTTCTCTCTTTGTCGTCAGGTATTCTATATGCACACCAGCGCTCTCCTTCACAGCTCCAGACGCATTCATACATATTGTTTCCATCGTCTCAGTCTCTGTCGGAGTGTGTGGTTGTTTATCGCTGGTTGTTGGCAGGCCAGCTGTTTCCTGCAGCTCTCAGCATGTGAAGGACAGAGCAGAAGTGCTGATGAACGCTGTATTACTGCAGTGAGCTTCGACTGTAGAGACCGAGGGGTGTGCGGATGTGTGTGCGGGATATTCCTAAATCCTCGCTTCTCTAGAAGACTGCGAACCAATTCCTGAGTACCGTGTGTGATTGTCACAAAACAAAAAGTACAACAAACTATTGTACTATTAGCTTGGTTGTACATAATAATACTAATTTATTTGATCAATATTGGAGTAAAAATAATATTGTGAAATATTACAGTATTTCTTTCTATTATTACTGTTTTCTATTTTTATACATTGTAAAATGTAATTTATTTATGTGATGACAAAGCTGAATATAGCCAATACTCAGTGTCACATGATACTTCAGAAATCATTCTAATATGCTGATTTGGTGCTCAAGAGACATATTTTATTATAGTCTATGTTGAAAGCAGTTGTACTGCATAATATTTTAGTGGAAACCATGATGCTTTTTTCTGGATTTTTTGATGAATAAAAATTCAAAAGAACAGCATTATCACCATAATATCATGTAGTACTGTTATAAATGTCTTTACTGTCACTTTTGGTCAGTTTAAAGTGTCCCAGCTGAATAAAAGTATTAATTTCTTTCAAAAAGGCTGGAAAAAAATTACTTTTGAATAATAGCGTGCCCTTGTGTTAAAAAACACAATGGACAAATTATTGCTTCCAAGTAAATTTCCAATTTTTAATTTCACTGCAAAATTTTAATTATTGACTGGAGAAAAGTTAACCTTTTGTTATTTTTTTATTCAAGTGCATACTGTAAATTATGGAAGCCCATTTTCACCACTGAATAAAAAATAAAAAAAAAGGTAATTGCGACTTTTTTTCTCGCAATTGTGAGTTTACTGACTAAATAATTCATTTTGACTTTCTGACTGACTTTTCTCATAATTGTGAAGTATAAACTCGCAATTCTTTTTTTTTTCTCTCTCAGAATTGCATAATATAAACTCACAATTGTGAGTTATAAAGTCAGAATTGTGAGATAAAAAGTCGCAGTTACCTTTTTTTATTTTATTTTTCTTATTCAGTGGCGGAAACGGTCTTCCATAGTAAGTAAAATTACATTAATAAAATAATTTTAAAGGTCTAGTTCACACAAAAAAGAAAATTGTCATTGTTTATTTACCCTCAAGTTATTCCAAACCTGAGTTTTTTTCTTCTGTTGAACACAAAAGAAGATATTTCGAAGAATGCTAGTAACCAAGCAATTGCTATAGCAATTGACTTGCATTGTATTTTTCCGTACTATGGAAGTCAATGGCTACCAGCAACTGATTTGGTTATATATATATATATCTTCATTTGTTCAACAGAAGAAAGAAACTCATACAGGATTTGGTGTTGAGGGTGAGTAAACGAAGACAGAATTTTCATTTTTGGATGAACTAGACCTTTAAGGGTTCTAGTTTATGATGTGTGATTGGATCACAAACTGTTTTGGACCCCATTCACACCTGTTTTGTGCGTCGCTTGCTTCCGAAATATGAAAATACAAGTGAAAACTGTCCTTGGATTAAAATGACCATGAGCTAATCATTCAGTACAGTGGTGTGTATAAATGTACAGTGGCACCACCACTTCAGTAACTCTCTATGTTCCCTCTGAAGGTGAAAAAGACATCGGAGGCCACACTCAGCACTATCCAGGACATGGTGAACATGGAAGACTACGACGTGTCCGAGAGCTTCCAGCACAGTCGCTCCACTGAGTCGGTCAAATCCAGCGTATCAGACACTTACCTCAGCAAACCCAGCCTGGCCAAGAGACGCGCCAACCAGCAGGAAACAGAGCTCTTCTATTTCACAGTAAATGTTGGCCCACACACACTCGCTCAAACAGGGCCTGTTTTGGAAATACAGCGTTTAATAAGACATTTACTTGCATCAGACACAGAAAAGAGCACAGACACCATATTTATTCTCCTTGCATCACACTTTGCAGCCAATGATCTGTTTACACTGTAGTTTTGTAGCGTTGTGACCCCTGGGTCAATGGTCTTGTTTTAGCCTAAAGCAATGTCAGTATCTTTAAAGTTCATGGCTACTGAAGGATGACCAGGACTAATTAGATCATTAATTTCCAGTGTAATTGGATTATTATTGACTGTGTGTATTTGTGTGGCTGCAGAAGCTGAAGGAGTATCTGGAAGGCAGTAATCTCATCGCTAAACTACAAGCCAAACATGACATGCTGAAGAGGAGCATAGCTGAAGGTGATGTTGCACTTTTCTCTAAATGTGTAATTATTATGATTATATTTATTATTTACTATTGTATACGACTACTGCTGCTGCGGCTGCTAACAATGAGAAAATGAGAATGGTTTAGAAATGGAAAAAAATAAGAGATAATAATAATAAGTATTATTATTATTATATTTTTCTTGTTTTTTCATTTGTAAATCTTTTTTGATTTATTAAATTCCATTTTAATATTAATATGAATACTGCTGCTACTAGTGCTACTACTACTACTACTACTACTACTACTACAACTAATATAAAAAATAAATATTAAAATAATTCAAACTCATTTAAATATTTTATTATTTATTGATGTATAAATGAAAATATTATTTAATTAATTTTTCATTATGAATTTTTATGTAAATATGTATTTAAAGAGTATATGCATTTTTACATGCGCAACTAGCAAGACATAGTCAATTTATCTGTTTAACATGATTATAAAAATTAGCATTAACACTTGCATTAGCTTTGTCATAAAATGTGTATTAATTTACCATTTACACTTATATATATATATATGGATCCATGTGAATAAAACCAAGATAAATAATCTGTGTCCACCATTTGAAATTATATAATGAAGAGTAAGTGGCATCACTTGAGCTTTTAGATTAGTTGAGTTTATGTCTGAAGAGCAGTGAAATATGGTCTAATATAATATCTATATCCACAGGATACAGAGCAGACATCATGACAACCAGGTAAATCTCATCATCTATGTCTGACCTTCTTTTAATGCCCTTTTTACATATACTGCTCTGCATCATAAGGTCCTTTTGATATTTGTAAAGGTTCTCATGACCTTTTTGAATGCTAAATCTCTTGTTTCAGTTGTATTTCTCTCTTTTTTTCCACTTAGCCGTCGACGAAACTCCCACAGCAGGCACCAGGTAACAGCCGGTTTTGTTTCCACCTGTACCAGCATACCGATTTCATTTTTGTACAACTTCCATGTGCTGCTTTATGACTATTGGGATATTTTCATCTGCATGCAGGATTCTGGGAAGGCCATCCCACTGATTGTAGAGAGCTGCATTCGCTTTATTAATCTATATGGTAAGAAATTATGTATAATCTGATGAATTAATACAAACATTGAATCCATCACACAAACATATACATCACATGCTCTTAAATTATGGTGTATTTTTTTTATTCCTCTTCTAGGTCTGCAACACCAGGGTATTTTCAGGGTTTCAGGGTCACAGGTGGAAGTCAATGACATCAAGAACTCTTTTGAAAGAGGTTTGTGAACGCCGTGATGTAAATAATTCTCATAATTATATTATGCTTTTGAGCACAGTCACGGTAATAAAAATATATACAGTGAACTTTGAAAGTCTCCATGTAAATCTGGGATTTAAAAAAAAAATGTAAATCTGGAAGGAAACAAGTTAATTTTAAAAAATAATTTTAAACAAATGTAAGTTATAGAGTAATACGATGAAGAAATATTATGCACAATTTTTATGTCACTAAGTAAAAAAATTTATTGAAAATTTGAAAATCGTATTTTATTATAACAGTGGTGACTAATTTCCACTTAATGTTACTTACATAAAACCATAATACATTATTATAGTTGGTACCTCCTCTACATAAGTCACAAATTTTTTTATTTTACTTTATTTAGTGAAGTAAACAAGTTGAAAGTTTCTGAAAAATGTGAAACAATATAAGTTATAGATAAGTTTTACAGATAAGTTATGCCGTAATATTAAGAAGAAATCTCCTGCACTATTTCTGTGTCACCAATTAAATTTTTTAAAAAAAGAAAAGAAAAATTGAACATTTTATTTTATTCCATAATACATTATTATAGTTGGTACCTCCTCTACATAAGTCACAAATTTTTTTATTTTACTTTATTTAGTGAAGTAAACAAGTTGAAAGTTTCTGAAAAATGTGAAACAATATAAGTTATAGATAAGTTTTACAGATAAGTTATGCCGTAATATTAAGAAGAAATCTCCTGCACTATTTCTGTGTCACCAATTAAATTTTTTAAAAAAAAGAAAAGAAAAATTGAACATTTTATTTTATTATAGAAGTGGTGACTAATTTCCACTTAATGTTACTTGCATAAAACCATAAATTAATATGGTACCTCCTCTGCACATTGTAAAATGTCACTTTTTATTTATTTGATTTTATTTCTTTTTTATTGTATTTGATATTATTTAATTTTTTTATTAATTATAAATTATTTTGAATATGGTGTAATATAAAAAATTATATTATGGTGTAATATAAAAATGTTTGCGCTATTTCTGTGTCACCAGTTAAATAAATAAATTGGTGACATTGACCCTGTAATTTGTAATGATTTTAAGAAAAATGTTAAATAATTGTCAAAAAAAAAAAATTATATATATATAAAATATGAACAAATAGCATTGACTAAATACAGTTTAACAGTCTCCCTTAAATTAAAACAATTAAAATTGTGATTATTTAATAATAAATGCCAATGGCTTTTTGAAAGCTCAGTGTTCAAATGTGAAAATCACTGATTTTAATGAAAAAGATCTATCACCATGGGTACACTCTCATCTTCGTGACTGTTTCCCAGGCAACGACCCCTTGACTGACGAGGAGAATAACCATGACATTAACTCAGTAGCAGGCGTGCTGAAAATGTACTTCCGCAACCTGGACAACCCGCTTTTCCCCAAGGAGAAGTTCAACGATCTCATCGCCTGCGTCCGTGAGTGCTTGTTTCCCTGCGTTCATATGTGTGCATGTATGTGTATGAGGCAGGATGGAGGAAGGAGAGGAAAGGAAAGGAAAGGTGGGTGTGAGAAATGGTGGCACAAGCATTCGGGAAATGACAGGGTGCTAAGTACTCGGGTTTCCTGGGGAGTTTGGACAGCTGCTGTCTTTTCATGTGAATATAAAAGAGTCCCTGCCTGTTTGAGAACATGGGACGTCTGGTTTTCCTTGTTTATGAACTTGCGTGTTCATGTGCGTTCAACAGGAACGGAGAGTTTGTATGAACGTGCCCTCTCCATCCGCAAGATCTTGACCACAGCACCACGGCCAACACTCGTGGTCATGAGATACCTGTTTGCATTCCTCAACCAGTGAGTATTCACACACAAGATTTTTTTGCACCCTCAGATTCCAGATTTTCAAATAGTTGTATCTCGGCCAAATATTGTCTTATCATAACAAACACATCAGTGGAAAGTTTATTTATTCAGCTTTCAGATGATGTATAAATCTAAATTTGGAAAAATGTACCCTTAAGACTGGTTTTGTGCTCCAGGGTCACATATAGCTAGCAAAATGAGGACATACTACACAGACTGTATGTTGCTTTCATATAAAGCTAAGTGTAATTATTAGTTTTGCTATATTTAGCTGATTCATGTCGACAGTTTTGTCCCAAAAGGGTAGCAAAGTAAACCCACATAGTTACTGTTCCATGTACATACAGAGTATGAAATATTCATCAATATTGCTACTTCCAAATGAACACAACTCACTCAGCTGCAAAGCTGAAGCGTCTCATTGAATAGGAGAAATGCAGCTAAACTAAGCATCCATTTTCACACCAGAAATTAAATCCTCTCCCACCTCTGTGCCGTGAGAGACAGAGGGAGGCTGGGAGCGAGAGTGTTGGGTAAAGGTGCGATATGGCATTTATGACTCACACGCACAAATAACAGACTGATGCTCTGATTGAGAAAGCATAATTACAGCGATGTACTCAGGAGACAACGTAATGCATCATGGGATTGTTTCCCATCGCAGCTTGTCCCAGTACAGCGACGAGAACATGATGGACCCTGGAAACTTGGCTATATGCTTCGGCCCCACTTTGATGCCCACCCCGGACCTCCTGGACCAGGTCTCATGTCAGGCTCACGTCAACGAGATCGTCAAAACCATCATCATCCACCATGAAACCATCTTCCCTGACACCAAAGAGCTGGAGGGACCCGTTTATGAGAAATGCATGAGCAATACTGAGTACTGGTGAGTTCATGTGCTTAACTAATTACCGTATTCCCATTTAAAGTGTATTGCAGTATGTTGATCATCTTTTGTGTTCTTTAAGTGAAAGTCCGTACAGTGAACCTGGAGGGTTTGAGGAGGGGGAGCAGGATGGAGGGACGGAAACACAGACGAGCGAGGAGGGTAAATACATGCGTGCATATTCGTTTTTATTAAACACAAAAATACAGAATGCTGAATTTGTCTGTCTTTCTTTCAGAGGGTGAGCCTGTGGAGGCCATAGCCAAGTTTGACTATGTGGGACGGTCTGGACGGGAGCTGGCCTTTAAAAAAGGAGCCACTCTGCTGCTGCTTCAGAGAGCGTCTGAAGACTGGTGGGAGGGACGACACAATGGCATTGACGGACTCATACCACACCAATACGTCATGCTGCAGGAGTGAGTTCACACGCTTCATCTACATATTCAAGGCAACAAGATAAGATTAAAAAAAAAAGAATACCATAGCAAACATTTTCCACCAAAATACCACATTTACAGTTAATGTTACTGCTGTAAAACCATAGTAAATTAATATGGTATCTCCTATTCACAGTTTGAGAGGTCACATTTTATTTTAAAAAATTTTTTATTTCATTTTTCTTTTTTTTTTCAGTGGTGACTAATTCCCACTTAATATTTCTGCTGTAAAAACAAATCAATATGGTACCTCATCTACACAATGTAAGAATATTATTTTAATTTAATTTTAAAAAATTATGTGTGTATTATTTATTTATGTATTTATTGTAGTTTAGTTCAGTTTATTCCAGTGGTGACTAATTTCTACTTAATATTACTGCTTTAAAAGCATGACAAAATCATGGTGCTGCTTCTACACAATCTGAGAAGTCATTTATTGAATGTATATTTTATTATTTTATTTTTATTTTTAACTGTGCTTATTAATTCCCACTTAATGTTGCTGATGCAAACCCATAATAAATCAACTTTGGTATCCCCTCTAAACATTTTTAGATGTTTATTTTATTATTTTATTTTTATTTTTAACAGTGGTGACTAATTCCCACTTAACGTCTGTAGTACTTGGTATTTTGGCAGAAATGGTATCATAGTAATTGTAAGGAATTTGAAGTTTGTTTTTTTATGTAACACATTGGCTAATTTAATTTCCTTCTAAAACTCATTTTGATCAAACGAATAGCTTGATGTGAAAATGGATGAATGAATGAACTTCTGAATGATATATTTCAGGGATGAGGCCATGTCAGACACTCTGAGCCAGAAAGCAGACAGTGAGTCCAGCACTACACCTTCAGATGAAGTGAGCTCCAGACGGTCGCTGACGTCTCCTACTGAGCCAAGAATCCCTGAGACCTTCATCAGCCGGTGAGCACACACACACTCTGGCCTTCAGTCTCCTAGTCACTGTTCTCCTTGCATTTCACTTTATTAATTCCTCCCTTCTCTCTTCAGACACCGGAAGCGGACGGAAGCCCTCCTGCGCCGCGTCCCTGGTCGCTTAAGCGACGGTCACTGCCACGGCAATGGGCTGGAACGTAGCTCTCCTCCCGTAACGGTGACGGTAACGGGGCATTTCAGCCCGCGGGAGCTACTGCGTGGGAACAGCTGTGTGGACAGTCCTGAGCACCACAGACGCACGGGACACAACGCCAACTCCAACGGCAACGTCACTGCCAACATCAGCCAACACGAGTCCCTGCGCAGGGACAGAGAGCGGGAGAGTCCTCCAATACGCCAGTCACCATCCGCACTGCATTGTGGGTTAGCTATTCAACGCTCCCAGAAGCTGAACCCGCACACAATGGCACAGGTTTGTTATGAACAGACATGCAAATGGGCAAATCTTTCAAAAACATGTTCCTGACATTTCAGTCCCAAAATTAAAAGGAAAGAAAATAAGTTGTTATTTTGCATATGGAAATGAAACCGCTTTGTAGGACTGTTAAGATTTTTTGCATTGACATTTTTACAGTTAAGCACATTTTTCAGATTCTCTTATAATTGTTCAATAATGTGTGTAATGTATAGTTAGTTTATATTAATTTTAGAAAAGGCTTCGAATTTTTTAAAATATTGATCAAATGAATAATCAATTAACAATAATATAAATAAAAAACTATATTACATATAATATTTATATAATTTTTTTTATATATTATTTAATCATGTGTATTAAATTTATAATCATTTTATAATATAATAATTTTGGAAAATGTTAATTTACATTTTTGATTAATTGGTGAATTATTTAACTAATATAAATGATGATAAATTATATTAGGTATTATAATATCTATGTACCATTTTTATATTTAGATTTCTTAGATGTGTATTAGATGTATCCATTTATATTTTATTCATTTTTGAAAATTAATTTAAGACTCGACGACTGCTCGACGAACAGGTTAATCTCTTAATAATGACATGATTGTACGGCCGATAGCTAGTTTACGCGCAGAACGGTCTGATAGCGTTAGTCTACGATATTATATCTATAAATGTGTTGTCAGGGTGGTGTGTGTGTGTGTATTCTCAAAGTGAATAGGACTTTACCGTGTCTATGTATAGATACATTTACAAGGAACACATTCAGAGACAGCGGAGAGAGACTGCCTGTACAGGAAGTGCCGTTGTTGTTTTTTGGGAAATGTTCCATTGAGTCGGTGCAATGTATTTTGAGTGCTTTGATTTGTTAGGCCTTACTACCACAAGAGGGATGTGTCAAAAACGCTGTTTTTATAAGTTGCTGCTGCTTTTTTTGATGCTTTGATTCGAGTTACAGGACTCCCGGTGCCTCTTGGGAAAATAGTTATTTCACTTGTTGGAATTTGATGGGGAATGTAATTTTTTTTGTTTTGTTTGTTTTTTCGTTCACTTAGCCTTTCCCGCAAGGCGACTAAAGAACACCGAATGTATTCCATGAATGTTCCACTGTTTTTCCTGTTTTCACTCGAAAAATACCACGCTAAGCCTTGATCACCAGATAAACCTCCCCCTTTACCGTGGAAACCAAACCCTGAAGCCTGATTGGATGATGTGGGAGGGACACAACCGTAACATTCCGAGGGCAAACACACGAACAAAGCTTTAACAAAACATCACACTAAAGGCGTAAAAAAGACATTCCGGGGAGGATTGCGAAGAAAATTACGAAAGTTTGTGCAAATAGGCCACGCCCTCCCTCGGGTCGTTCAAGTACAATTTCCACTGCTGCTCAACTGACAGACGATAACGGTGTTCGATCCTCCATTTTCAACATCCCCTGTGCTTCCAGTGTACGTGTGTTTGTACAATATCGTCAACGGCAGACTCTTTGGAGCACACTAACCATACATGGCTCTCCTGTGTGTGTCTGTGTGGGGGTTTTTGTATGATAAAATGCGCTTAGGGTAGTTCAGAGTACTAGATGATGGATAATTCATGCTTGTACATGACAACTTAAGTGTTTGAGTGTGTGTGTGTGTGTGTGTGTGTGTGTGAATGAAAGAGAGTTAGAAAGAGTACACTGCACTTGTAGACAAGTTTGTGTGTGTGTGTGTTAGAGTGAATGTGTGTGTGATCGAGGGTGTTTAGTCCTGTGTGTAAAATGCATGAAGGTGAAGTGAGTAGTTTTACGACCAAGCGGCCTTGGTTCACTTTTTTATATGCTAACGATGATTGTTTTTCCACTTTTTTTTGACTGCTGCTCTTACGTTTTTTTTTTTACCTGTTCTATTTTTTTTTACCTTCATTTCTTACTGGTGCTCTTTCATACGACCGCATCTGCTTGTCGCCGTATCCGACACCCACTTTTTTTGTCCTTTTCCAAGAGATCTGAGATTATCGCCCCACTCTCCCACACACACACACACACTGTGTTCACATGAAAGTGCCTTTCAGGATGCATGTTGAATGCAGGAGCCTGGTCTGCCAAGGGTGTGTGCTCCCGTCGCTCTCTGAAGAGTCGTTCCCCAAGTTAAATAATAATTATAACGCTAGAGCTCTTTCCAGATATTTAATAACCTGAACGAATAATAAATATGTACATTTAATCCATTGTGATGTCGCACTTTCATGTATAGGACTGTATTGGCATGTAGCATTAAATCATGTTCCAGTGCTTTTTAAAATGTGTCGAAACTGAATGTCTTTGAAATAAAGGACAGTTGATATGTCTCAAAATAGTGCGTTGTACTTTTTTATTGATATATTTCAGTTTAGTGATGGAATGGCTCATACTAAAATTAAACGGTGAGTAGAAAGCATTGTACATGTGATTTAAAGACAGTACACCCAAAATTAAAAAAATTGTCATTATTACCTCATTATATAGCAAACTAATCTTCTATAGAACACAAAACGTGGATTTGTTAATGATTTTTGGTGTACTGTCCCTTTAAATGTTACAATCCGTCTGCCTGAATCCATGTTTTGTACACATGTACACTAATAACCTATGCTCTTATTTCAGTCTTGCCGTTAAACATTTAGGTAGGATGCTTTTATGGCTCACGCAGGAGTGGAGGACACAATTTCTGCCTTTTAAGCAAGGAATAATTTCCCATCATGCAGCTCAACCTGGCTGATTCTAAAGTGGAGGTAAAACGATAGAGATTAGACATTCAATGGGGTCCAAAAGTCTAAGACCACTAGTTTTATTTTGCATTCTAATGTAACATACTACTTTTTCCACGTTGAATTGACGATGTAATGTGAATATCGTAATATATTTGTATCTTGTTTGTTCCTTTTTCTTTAGCTGCATGGACATTATGTAAAACCTGGTAATCATGTTTTCCAGATTTCTTATTCATTTTACATCACAGAATTTATTTGTTAATTTTGAATTAGATTTTGAGTTCAGACTTTCAGTGTGGTCTCCGACATTTGGACCCCACTGTGGTTTTGGATTTGCAGATGTTTTGCGAGCCGGTTTTCTCGGTCTTGAGTTATGGGTATAAAGCTATCAATCTTTAATGTTTTGATTTATATTAATCTTCATCCATTTTTCAAATGCGAGCTGGTACATCCTTTCTGCTGTCTTTCAGTACAGCTGTGACCTATGCATTTCTTTGGGTTGCAGTGAACCATAACGAGAAAATAATCACAGTTTATACCACTGAAATTTAAAAAAAAGTTTTTTTTTTCGTTTTTTTCAATTAAAAAAAAAAAAGTTTTTTTTTTTGCACTGAATTACCAATATGGTCATGGGTTTTTCAGACTATAAACACTTTTAAAAGTGCAGAATGTTTGAAAACAAAACGCTATACTTTTCTGTTCTGATCTACACTATCATTTAAAAGTTTGGGATCAGTACAACTTTTTTTAAAAGAAATGTATATTTTTATTCAGTAAGGATGTTTTAAAGTGACAGTAAAGACATTTATAATGTTACAAAAGATCATTAAAAAGAGTTCTTTTGAACTTGCTATTATTCATCAAAGAATCCAAAACAAAATGTATGTTTCCAAAAAAAAAAAAAAAAAAAA